ATATTGTGTCAGCGTATGTCATTACCTCAGCCATGAGGTCATGTTTTCATCTGTGCTTGTATGTGTGTATGTGTAGCACGATAATTTAAAAAATATCAAACGTGTTACTACGAATATTTTGTGGGACTAATGTACATTGCCCAAGGACAAACTGATTACATTTTGGTTAAATGTGGATGAAAATTGTGTAAGAAATTAACAAAGTTTGTCTTGCTTTGCCAGGCAGAGTAAACTGAATGCGTAATTAGCCAAATGTATAATTTATGCACAACTTAATACAACAATAGAGTTCGCGGGCATAATTATATTTTTGGCCTGATTCAGCTCATTCGGAGGAGGTCCAAAAACATCTTGATTCCTAAGAATATCCCTATATATATGAATATGCGTAGTATTATTGTTGTGATGTTTGTGGTGTTTTTCAGAGTGTGCATCCACACCGGGTAAGCTGAAAAGTTTACCTGACCACGGTGGGAATCGAACCCGCGACCTTTGGGAGACGGTGGGAATCGAACCCGCGACCTTCGGGTTCGATTCCCACCATGGTCAGGAAAACTTTTCAGCTTACCCGGTGTGGATGCACACTCAGAGTAACACCACAAATATCATATTCACCTGAGTACATAACACCAGCACACACACTAAAAAGTAACATTGTATGATTTATGCATAATGCATAACTTAATACAACAATAGAACTGATGTTCGCGGGCATAATTATGTTTTTGTCCTGACTCAGCTCATTCTGAGAAGGTCCAAAAACATATTTATGCCTAAGAATATCAACTGTATTACCATTATAATAACTGTAGAGGGCATTACAGTATAAAAGATAACAAATAAACGGCAAATAGTGGAATAATTGCAATGCCATCTTCACGCTATATACGTGCATGGTTATTTCGTTGTATTAACTACAAACTTGAAGAAGAATGAAGAATACTTTATACAATTTATGTAGTGATAGTTTGGTACAAGAAAGCTTGTTTGTTAATGACCAGCGAACAATGGATGTAAGTCCATTCACTTCGTCATTGTGTATGGCTTCTGCCACAACATAAATAATTCTAGTTTTTCCTTGCTTTCTGGAGTGGGTTAGGTCATTCCATTTAATATAGGCACCACCCCTCCTTTCATAATCCCCTTAGGGTATAAAAAATTTGGAACCCCTTTGGATGCAATTTGTGGAAGAGTTACCCCAGATGATATCTTACAAATCCCTTTAGGATATCTCCTTTTCCCTCTTGGATATCACGAAAACACCTAATTTTTGCCATTTTTAAAAAATCTCAGCTACTTTCTAGGAAAATTTAAGATAAAGACCCCCTCATTGAATATCCACACCCTTCAATAGGGGGTGCACATATTAAATGGAATGGCCCATTCTAGCTTATTTAACTTTTGAAAATTGATATATCTCCACTTTTTGTATTTTGCTATTTTGTTGGTAAAAATAAAAAAAACCTCCCCAGCTCAAGACATTGCTAAAAACGACTGCCGGCGTCCGTAAACAATTTAAAATTCAGCTTGCTAAAATGTATTTCAGCCTGCTAATGTGTGTATTTTAGCCCGCAAAATACGCCACAACGCCTGTTAAAGTTATGATAATATGGTATGTTGTTTTAGAGTGCCCTCTGGTTGAATATGAAATTGTTTTCGTACATTTTAGCTTCATGAAAAGCGGCCAGTCAGCAACGTGAAATCCATCTCCGATTTCGCCAAGCTCGTCTCGCGGGTTGAACACCCACACAAACCCCTTAAATTCATCACAGCCTTGCCCGAGGGTTACGAGACCTCTGACGATGAAGATGGCGGCGCGGTCAGCGAACCTCATCGCTCAGGATCACTTGGGGATCACGAGGAACTTCTAGGTGGTGGTGATGGGGGGAATTTTGGGGTAGGATTCTCCAGCACTGATGATGCTGACTATGAGGTTAGTATATTGAATGTTTTAGTCCATGTATCTGGCTGGGTGAGATAAATCGTGTACTTGCATAACGGAGGTTGCTTCAGTGGATCTCCAACTGCGGTTACAATTTGCATTTATTTTTTATAAAT